CCCTCCCCCTCCACCACCACCAACTCCTCCCCCACCTCCACCACTTCCTAACAAAAGAAAGCTCAAGCCATCTCCACCACGACTTTTGGTGAAGGCAAAATCTTCTTTACCACTACCTCCACCGGTTATGTCCGGGACCAGTTCATTTCCACCCTGGAAGCCACCTATTCCACCTAGAGGGAATACCACCAAAAATAGCAATGTGGATACAGTAGAAAACTGGAAAGAAAATGACGAAATTCAAATGAAACTTAAGCCACTACACTGGGACAAGGTTGTTGCCAATGCTGATCATTCAATGGTCTGGGATGAAATCAACGATGGATCTTTCAGGTAAGTATAAGAGTTTACAGTCAATTTTCTTGGTCGTGAAATTTTCAAATGAAAAATTTCAACTGGGTCTTTCTGAACTTATATTGATTCTGTGTTGTCCTGTCAGATTTGATGACGAACTCATGGAAAACCTCTTTGGATACACTACAACTAGAGAGAAACCGACCAGTGGAAATGGCGCATCCTCAAATTTAGGCAGTGCTAAATCAGCTCCACCAGCACAAATTTTCATCCTTGAACCCCGAAAGTCCCAAAACAAGGCAATAATTATTAAATCTCTTGCAGTTTCTCGTAAAGAAATCCTTGAGGCTCTCGTGGAGGGCCAAGGCCTCGATGCTGACACCCTCGAAAAATTAACCAAGATTTCCCCAACAGAAGATGAAATAACCAAAATCCTCCATTTCAATGGGAACCCTGCAAAACTTGCTGATGCAGAGTCTTTCCTATACCATGTATTGAAAGCAATTCCCTCAGCATTTATGCGTTTCAATGCAATGCTATTTAGATCGACATATGATCCAGAGATACTTCATCTCAAGAAATCTCTGCAGACTCTTGAATTGGGATGTAAGGAACTAAGAACTCCGGGAATTTTCTTTAAACTGCTCGAAGCCATTCTCAAGGCTGGCAATCGAATGAATGCTGGTACAGCACGAGGAAATGCCCAAGGCTTCAACCTTAGTTCCCTGTTAAAACTTTCTGATGTCAAAAGCACAAATGGAAAGACTACTCTGCTTCAATTCGTAGTCGAGCAAGTAATCTGTTCCGAGGGAAAACGTCGTTTAATCAATCAAACTGATAAAAATGGTGATGCCAAACGAGATTCAGATAGCAAGATTTCTGAAGGAGAAAGAGATATGGAGTACTTAATGCTAGGAATACCAGTGGTATTAGGCTTAAGTACTGAATTATCCAATGTGAAGAAATCAGCAACCATCGATCATGACAGTTTCGTCAACACGTGTTCAACTCTTACAGCCAAAATTCACGACATCAAATGGCTCATAACACGCTGCAACGATCACGAACAGGGTCGATTCTCCATCGAAATGAAAGGCTTTCTAGAAGATTGTGAAGAGGAACTCAATGTAGTGGGAGATGAACAATCAAGGGTAATGGAATTAGTGAAGAAAACAACAGTATATTATCAAGCAGGAGGTAATTCTAAAGACAAAGGCACAAATCCACTTCAATTATTTGTTATTGTGAAAAATTTCTTGGATATGGTTGATCAAGTTTGTGACGATATATCGAAGAAACTGCAGAAGAAAAAACAGACTAGTACAGGATCATCAACGCCATTATCGCCATTGTCAAGGTCTCCCGTGAGATTTCCCAGTTTGCAGTCTTTTTCTAGGACACAAAATCCAGGAACATTTTCAAGTGATTCAGATGATGATTTTTGAGAAAGATTTAGACAGGATTTATGTAAAGTTTTTCAATTCTATATAGTCTCCAATCCAATCCATTATAAAGATTGG